CCCCCCCCCCAGTGCAGCGTTGCCAGCCACAATGCAAATCAGGCCAGTCGCTTGATGTTCAGAGGAACTGACAGAATGCCAAGCAATAAAACGGATTTTCTCTGGTGGTTCCGATTGGCTGTTGTTTTAACCGCCAATGAAAAGCGTTGGAAGAGGTTATGTGGGATGTATCAAGTAAAGGGGAGACAGGTTTGACTTGAGAGCGAGACTAAACTGTGTCGAATGATATGGGTTCGATCATCGGAGGATCCAGCAAGTATCGAGATAACAAATTATAATTAAGAACAACATTTGAGGGGGATCTGTAGATCGTGTCATGAGGTGGAGGTTTAATGATGCAACTTCTTCCCCCTGGCTGCAAATCTCGATTCGATCCACAACGAAAAAGACTTTGGACGGAAAAGGTTCCAGGATCTTCATCCGTTCTCCGTACAGATACGGAGTAGGCGGACCCTACATACATAGTATTACATACCATGGAATACTTTGTGTCCACTTCAAGTGCTTCGTACCACAGTGTTTGGGAGCACATCTCGTGGCCGTCCCTTCAACCGGTGTGCTGGAATTTTTGGGCCCTTTGGGATGGAAACTTTGCCCTTGGGAATATTTCTCCTGGCCCCCGTCCAGGTTGAAATTCAGATTTCAATCTAGAGCAAAGGCTGCAAGTGGTGAGAGTGTGGCTGGTTAGTGAACAGAGTGATATTCTCCACAAATGCTTACTAGAATACACTATTGACATGGGGGTTCCTTGTAACATGTCATCCCAATTGTTTCCTGGAATCCAGAAAGGTGGAACGTGGCGCGAAAGATGGAGATTATGGAGGTCTGGAGATGTGATTGACATATGAATTTCCCATATAAGGTAACAATCATTCTGGCAACATAATGTTCTGGCCGAACAAAGTACATATCAGGTTTGAAGTGGCGGCATATCTGAACAATCAGGGGCGAACGTAGAATCGGATGTTGATGAGAACAAGCTTGATAATCAACATTATCATAACCTTTCGAGTTCCAATAAGGCATGTATTCCGAGAAGGCATCATCGTACGTAGAGATTGCCCACCGACGCCTTAAAAGTTCCTTTTTGGTGTTCCGTACTGATACATCCCCTACAAGGGTGGAGGGTGAAAGGTGGAGGTCGGCTTTTCGGTTTTATGTTTTTTTTTGTTTTTTTGTTTTTCCTTCTTTTTTCTTCTTACCTTTTTCAATTCCTTTTCTCAATTCTGTCTTTTTTTCGATTTTTTTTTTCGTCCTTTGATTCTTTCGGATTTGGTATCTCGTGCTTTTTCAAAGTTGATTCAAGGCTGGCCCAGGGTTTCCATATTCGGACCCTCGATCTCCCGAATCCTCGACAATATCTCTCGGGCTAGTCTCGATTCGATGGCCCTTCACCATCTGCTGCATATCATCGACTTGTATTGAAAAAGAAAGTTGCTGAATTTGCTAGCTCTCCAATCTGAATTCGAGCTTGGCCTACCAGGTTACCCCGGTTGTGTGACAGGCGTCGAACCTCCTCTTCTGTTTGCCAACGCAACTCCCTCGGTTTTGGGATCTTGTCACCTGCAGGACTTTGATTGCTTCGACCGATTCCAGAATAGTTTCTTTTAGTTCTGTCCCACCTTCATGCGTAAATAACGCACCGCAACTGTGACGCCCGTACCATTGCGGCATGACACTTACCCCCTTTCTGACATCGTGCTGGTGAGACGTTGGAAACGTCAATTTCGATGGCCCATAAGAAGGAGCGTTAGGAACGTGGTTCAGTGTGATATAGAGGATCGTTTGCCTGCACTATTCAAACCCAAAATCAGTCATTAGCAAGCGTTACTTCATTAACAAAGTCGCATTGCCGCCGAAGCTTCAACCGCGGTATATTTTGGTCAGAAATCTCGAAACACAACTTTTGGAAACCATACTCCGCCAGGCTGGTCTTTTGAAAATGAAGATAAGCCCACACGAGAACCCGAAACAATTTTCCGCGTTGGCTCCGGGACCGGCGCGCATGTTCACACCGCAGACGTCGACTGCTGTCAGTAGGCCAAAGAAGAATTCCACAGCTTGCCTGGCATGCAAAGCAGCAAAGAGGAAGGTGAGTTTATGCACCAGTTTATTCCAGTTTTCCCTTTCTCTTTTGTCCCCTCTCTCTTTCTCTGGCTTGTCCCAAATCTTGGAACTAATTGGCTAATTCTTGTGTTCTGCTGAATATAGTGCTCTGGACCAGATGCCCCATGTAAAGCTTGTCGATCCACCAACACCATATGTCTCTTTGATCCAAGTCGAGACCTTAGACGAAAGGTTGCCGTCAAGCGGACGATCCAGGAGCTCACAAGCCATCTAGATCTACTGAAGGCTTTGTTGGACACGCTCGCGTCGGATGATCGACTTCAGTTTGACAAAGTCGTGGATTTGATCCAGAAAAAGGCTACGTTCAAAGATATCGCCCATGCTGTCGGATGCCCCACCGCGATGTTCGGAGACTCCCAAGAGTTGTCAGAGACCACCAAATCGGTAATTTTAATTTATTCGGAGCGTCCCATAGAAAATTTGGACAATGAGGATCGACGCCCATCGGACGCTGGAACTATAGCAAGCTCACCAGAAGAGATTCCAAACATGAAACCTCCGCAATGGCCAACAGTTAGCCCTTATGCTCGTGTCACACTGGAGAGCCTCTGTGACATACCTCTCTTCGAGGTGCCGGCAAAGCCGTGGACAAAGATCACAAATGATGATTATCTGGTCTCGCACCTAGTCTCGCTCTACTTTACCTGGGACCACCCTTGCTCGCAGTTCCTTGATCAACGTATCTTCCTCGACCATATGAAACTCCGTCGAAGATCAGAGTTCTGCACGCCCCTTCTCGTCAATAGCCTATTGTCAATGGCCAGTGTATGAATCCCGAAAATACACCCCTTTGCGAAACCATTATCTGACACCGATAGACCTATTCTGATAGCCCCGATGTTCTTTCCACTCCCGAGAACGTGTTCTCGCGGGGCCAGAACTTTTTCCTTGAGGCACAAAGATTGTGGGAAATTGAGGATGATCACCACGACCTGCCTAACATCCAGGCCCTCCTCATGATGTGTTGTGTGTATGTTGCCCACTGATTTGTAGCAAACAAGTCATGTTCACGATATTGATTTTTTGCAGATTCAAATGTCAAGGACGCACCAGGAAAAGCTGGATGATGCTTACTCAAGCAGTTCAGCTAGCACGGGATATAGGACTCTTTGATGCACCATCAGTGTCGAATAAGAAAATGTTGCCAGAGATGGAACGGGTTCGCGCGATCACTGCCTGGGGTGTCTTCAACTTGAGCTCGTAAGCGCCGCCCATCCTCACAGAAACAAGCAATGTCTAATCAACTGGTGCAGACAAATGTCGATTGAACTGCAGAAGATTGCTTCCTTGGAATATCCCACGTTAGATGTCAAGCTGTGTGGCAACGATGACTTTGACTGGACCCCATACCCTCGCTCCAACAAGGTCACATATGACAAAAAGCCAGCCCTTCTCCCCAAAGTTAGGGAGGGACTGGCTGAGGTCACTAGGATCTTAGTCGATGTTCAGAAGCTTGGTTCTGACAAAATTAGAGGCGCCACTTTGGATGAGTTGTGGAATAAAGCTCACGGCCCATTCGATCGTTTGAATGATTGGCTGCAACACTGGCCGGGTGTGCCCGAAGCACAAAGAAATTCGGTCCCACAAGTCCTTCTCTTGCGGTAAGCATGACTGCCTTCCCGAGGTCCTATTGCATGCACCCCAGTGATTTTTTCTGTGCTAATACTGCGTGAAAGAATTCAATGTCTCCAGGCCATCATATATCTGTTTGAGGGTTTAAAAGACCCTCATGAGCCACAATATGTCCGACAGGCCCAGTTCTATCAGGTTAAGGCCGTCGAGGAAATGGCGAATTGCCTTCGCATCCATCGCCAGTCGTATGGTCTCAATCATATACCCAGCCAGATAGTCGATGCCATACAGGCAGGTCTTCGGATCTCGGTTCATCAGTTGGAAGAAAGTGACCAAACAAGGCAGGCATTTACTGAACTCTGTCGGTTTGGAATGGCCCTTAGTCACAGGTTTAAGCAGACAGCCGACGTGATTCATGAGGTCAGAAGAGTTGCGCTGCACCTTGACGTCCAACTACCAGCTGAGGTTATTGAAATCTTCGATGAGCCGGAGCAGTGGAGTCTTGAGCCCTGAAAATTATCATGGGACCTGTGTGTGTGACTGTATGAATGCATCTATGCCACTATCGGACGAACGATATTGGAAGACAGTTCGTCCTGCTGCAGACTTGAGTGAATCAAAGGTGGAAATGCGGAGTGGTGTAATGACGGTAGGGCTGGAACGAGGGTGTTGAGGGAAAGCTGCAATATCCTAGAAAACAGTCATGGCAGAGCAAGTACTTGACATTGGCCTACCCGACTCTTCGGTAATGGCCAACGCAATTTCTGTCTTCCTGGAACTCAGGTCAGAGAACGAAGATGTACAGCATCACCGTCTGTGGGTTGGCAAAAAAAAAAGGGGGAGGGGAAAGGGCACCGACGGTGACTGAGGGGGGGATGGCAGGGGTTGTCACAGCAGAAGAGTGTTAGCGGATGGCAGGCGACCACTTGCTGGTCTCTGATCCACCGGAAGTTTTTTCCTTGCCTATCTAACACCTGGCTAGTTAGTGAGATCGCATAGTCAAGAAATCCTGTTCTTCTCTAGTGCTGGATTTCCCAGTATTCCTCTAGAAAGTACGGAGTACAAAAATGGTTACTGAATTCCACCGACCTGGTACTGTGTTAAAGCCAACCGTCTGTCTGCTGTGACACCGTTGGGCCCTATTACGTCTGCCTTTTTATATTTGGAATTGCTGTACACTTTGACCAGATGAGAATTATGTAGATAAATACATGTAGACAGTTTAAGTATTTATGTATACCTAGTGTATCAAGCTGTACTCTAAAAAGGGTTCGGAACAAAGAGCATTTGCATGATCACTTTTTTATATCAAGATGTGGAACAGCCAGGGAAATATCAAGTCCGTTTGGGATGTTTAGAGCCCCTTTCATTATTAGCACACTGTGGAATTTTCATTCTTTCATTCTACTTATATGTATGTAGGTATGTACTTACAACATGAGAGGTAGTTGCGAAGCTACAGAGTAATAGCAATGTCGAGACTATGTTGAAGTAGACAGTACAGGGGTTTTCTGCTAAAACAAGTGACAGTCTCGGTACCCAGTACTTACACTGTGCTGAGTGCACCATGCACAAACTCACATAGCTGAGTCATCTCAATATTTTATGCGCAGATAAGATAAGCACAAACACCCAAGCGAAAACCCTCAAAATTCGACTTCTCTGGCAAATCGCACACGCCGACGCTATCCCCCCCCCCCCCCCCCCCCCCCNCCCCTCCCCACCTCGCCCCTTCCGCCTCTTCACTGCCGTTTCATCTCGGCATCTTGCTGCATTTTTAACTCTTTTCTTCCCCCCCTCCCACTCAAGATGTCCTACGAAGACCGCGCCAATGCGCGCTCCAACTTGAACGATGAGTCCGATAATGAGGAGGAGGCTATGGCCAACGACTACCGCGAGCAGGTCAACTACGATGATGGAATGAGCGAGCTGGATCAGACTATGTCCCACGGTGCATCGCAGACCCAAGACCTTCAGGCCCAGTTGGCAGCCGCCGCCACCCCGCTGGAATACCAGGCTACTCTTGAGACCAAATTCGCTAGCTACGACAACTACTGCAGTCTCTTCCACTATATCCTGAACTCCGATGGCCCCGTGGACTTGGAGGTTCCTAACGTAGGTCTCATGTTTCGCCGACCGATTGTTGAACGACATGAATGAAAAGCAAAAGCTTGGCATTCGTGAAATCAACAGGTCGATTCATCTCTCAAAACACAATACAGAAAAACTAACGATACTTTCTCTACAATCAGTACTACTGGGCTTGGGAAGTTATTGACGAGTTCATCTACCAATTCGAATCCTTCTGCCGTTACCGCAACCGCGTTGCTCGCACTGGATCCAACGAGGAGGAGAGCCAGCTGCTCCGCGAGAACCCGAACACATGGGGCTGCTACTCAGTGCTGAACGTGCTTTACTCTCTCATCCAGCGCTCGCAGATCAGCGAGCAATTGAACGCCACCAAGCGCGGAGAGGACCCAATGGCTGTCGCCGGCGAGTACGGTTCGCGCCCCTTGTACAAGATGCTCGGTTACTTCTCGATCATCGGACTGCTGCGCGTGCACTGCCTGCTCGGTGACTTCAGTCTTGCCCTGAAGATCCTCGACGACGTCGAGATGAACAAGAAGGCCATGTTCGCCCGCGTGATGGCCGCCCACTTCACCACCTACTACTACGTGGGCTTCTCCTACATGATGATGCGCCGCTACGGCGATGCCATCCGCATGTTCAGCCACATCCTCGTGTATGTGTCCCGGACAAAGAACTTCCAGAAGGGTGGCAACAACTACGAAGCCATCGCCAAGAAGAACGACCAGATGTACGCCCTGATCGCCATCTGTGTCGCTCTCCACCCCACCCGTCTGGATGACACCATCCACTCGGCCGTCCGCGAGAAGTACGGCGAGCAGTTCTACCGCATGCAGAAGGGTGGCCCCGAGGCCCTCCCCGTCTTCGAGGAGCTCTTCCGCTCTTCCTGCCCCAAGTTCATCAACCCCACTCCCCCCGACTTCGACAACCCAGCCTCCAACGTCGACCCCGTCGACCACCACACCGCCATCTTCATGGATGAGGTCAAGAACACCCTGTTCAACCCCACCATCCGCTCTTACCTCAAGCTCTACACCACCATGGATCTCAAGAAACTTGCGGGTTTCCTCGAAGTGTCCCCCGAGCAGCTCCGCTCGTGGCTGCTCGTTAACAAGCAGCGCAGCCGCCAGATCCGCTGGGTCGACGGTGGTCTCCTGGATGGTGAGCCTGCTATCGCCAACGATCTCGACTACGCTCTTGAGGACGACCTGATCCACGTCAGTGAGACCAAGGCCGGCCGCCGTCTCGTCGACTGGTACCTGCGTAACCTCGCTCGCGTCTACTAAGCGGGGCCTGTGTCTCATAAGTGTGCCCGAGAGAGTTGAAAAGAAAAAAAGCGAAGAGTGGTGGGAGCCTTCTGCTTACAAGAAGAGGAACGGACATGACTTGAGATGAATTTTCTTTCTTTTTCTCTGCCTACTTTTGTTTTTTATTTTCCATATTATACTCATTGCTCTCCCCCCCCCCTTTTCCCACCCGTCACGTTTCTTGTTTCTGTTGATTTCCTTTTTTTATTTTTCGAGTGTTCACCCCGTCCATGGATCATGGAAGTTCAAGGCTTCCTGGTCCGTTCAAAATCAAGTTCAAGTTGGATTATCGCGATTTCTTTGGTGGGCGTCCGCTGTTTCATGTGTCACCCTGGTCTGCTGTCGCTGCTTCTTTAAAGGCAGATGGTTAACACAGCATGGAGAGTATTTGTGTCAGGTAGAAGAAAAACAGTTACTTGATGAAAGCATTAGATAAACGAGAAATACTCTATATATTTCAAATCTTCCATGGAGCTCTGTGTTTAAACAAAATCTGGAGTTGCTCTGGGATATGGTCTTTTTTTTGGTATTTTGGGAGTGGATGAGAGAATCTATAGAACCTTTGAATCCCCAAGAATGGAAATATTTTGTAATTACTAGGTGCAAGCCGCATGAGAAACGTCTTCTATCTACATGTACAAGTACATTCCCCTTTAAACTAAATTATAACAATAATAGCTCTCCCGTGGCAGCCCCACCAGCCAGTTGCGGCTGATATCCCTGCTGCTGATTTTGAGTCACAACGTACTGTGTCTGGGGCGCACCTCCACCACCGCTACCATCGAGGTCCAACGAAGCCATTTGTTGGGAGCCGATACCACTGAAGTAAGCGTCTGCTGCATCTGCTGCCTCGTTCATGTTGCTGGGGCCGTTAGTTGCGGAGTTGACGCCCGGGACAGGAAGAGGAGGAGGAGGCCCATTGTAGCTTGGCGTGATGGGATCACCTGTAGTGATGATTGTGGCTAGACCGCTATTACTAGTTGAGGCGGAGGCCATGTTTGCGGAGGGAGGGTTGTATTCGAGCATATTGCCTGTACCGTCATCGATGGGGGGACGTTGCAAAGCTGGGCTGGGCAGGAGGCGCCGAGGGCGGGCAGCGCGGAAGACTTGGTGGATGGGCTTGAGGTAGACGGTGGCTAGAGTGCCGACGTTCAGACAGAGTTCCTCGAGAGTGCGTGGGTCTAGCTTTTCGCTCTCGGCCGTGATCGGAGGCTTTTGGCCCATGACAACCTGCTTGGCGGTTGCTGGGTCTGTCGAGAGCAAGCGCCAATACATGTAGCCACGGTCACGAAGATCAGGGTCATCTGTTTCTTCGGTACACCATTTGAGTACCTGTGGTACGAGCTGCTGGCCCTTGGTGGGGCGTTGGATGAAAAGTTTGACAGTAGCTGTGAGCAGGGCCAGCTGCACTTCGACCGTTTCATCGTGGAATGTGGCCAAGTAATCCTGAAGGAGACCATCCGAGTTATCGATGCGGTCCGCATACTGGCCAATGATCCAAATGACAGCTGCCTTAGCCTCAGGCTCATCTAGATCGTCGATGTTTCGGATGACATGACTGATTATACTTTCGTACTGGTTGGGGTATTTGCGGAAGATGTTGCGAATCACCACTGTTGCCTCTTGGACAATGTATGGGATTTTGGCATCGACCAGCTCCAAGAGCGTTTCGATACATTGCTTTGCAGCAGATTCAATCTTGATTGCCAATTTGCCAATGGCCCGAACGGCCTTGCGCACAAAGTGAACGTCAATTTCAGTGGCATATCTGTTAATAATGTCAGTATGCGTTTAATACAGTCAATCCGAGAAATTCTTACTCTCGAAGCTCTGCCAGTACGATAGAGATGTTGTCTTTTGTGGTTAGCATGAACATTAATTCCAGCTTGGTGACTTTGACATAAATTGGGTCGTTGTAGTTGCAGAAGAACACTCGGATGTCATTCCGCAAGACCTCCGGCCTCTTCTGAAGAATTAAGATAGCATTGCGCAGTGCGAGATATTGGACCTCGGGTGGCTTGGAAAGCAATGTGACGAGGGGTGGAGATAACTTCTTGCATAACGAGGTGATGTGCTTTTCGCCGGGAATGTAATTCATGAGATAAAGAATGACACGGCATGAGGTTAGGACGACGGCGGAATTTGAATGTGATAGTCGCGGAGCAACTCGCTCTGCCAGCAGAAGCGCCTCTGCGGAATCCTGGGGCACATATGCCATTAATGCCTCGAGGATGTAGGTTTGACCCCATCTGTTTGAATTGTTAACAAAATATCCCCACATATAGAACAAAATCCTCTTACTCAGAGCAGTCTGCCAGAATCGAAACCAATTTCGAGGCACTAACATAGTCGATAGTGAGTGAAATCGATTCACTGCGGCCCCAGATATCCACCAACGAAGCTAAGACGCTGGAAACAACAGTCGGGTTCTCATCCTTCAACATGCGGTTGAGCCTGTCGATCAGGTCTGAGTTCTCAACCATCTTTTTATCGTGCTCATAAAGTTTTGCAACGCAGAAGGCAGCCGTCTTGCGAACATATGGATCATTGTCTTGCATCAGGCGCTTGACAGGTTGGAACGTCGCTTCGACAAATTCGCGAACATGCACATATGAGATGGTTCGCAGTGCAAGGGCGCGCACAAGTGGGTTGTTATCTCCCATATCCTGTAAAGCAAGATCAGACCAACTCGAATCTTCTTTCGTAACAGCGGGGCCATACATCAACCAATATAGGCAGCGCCTTCAATGCGACCTCTGGTTTCATTCTCGAGTAGTTGACAAGGAATAAAAAGCACCTAGACAACGCATTAGCAAGCGAGCTCTACACCACAAAGCACACCATAAGCATCAGAGGGTATAGACATACATCTTCTTGATCTCTAAGCTCGGCAGATTCATACAACCAATAACATCCGGAAACAGTGCAACCATGTCGTTGTTGCTCATGGTCATATTGGCGACAATCTTCTTAAGTGCGATCTTCTTGGCGGAATAGTTCTTGTCTTTCTTGCCGCCGCTATTGAGCTCTTGCCGTAGCTCGGCAACCTTGCCCTGTGTGTTTCGCAAACGTGAGCCATGGGAGGGAGGATAAGGAGCAATACCGATGAACATGAGGGCAAATATGAGGGCAGATTTGAGGTGATGATTTGGAGTGATGTAGGAGTAAAGCAAATAGTCTTATGTCGAATGCAAGGGAACCAAGCAAGATGCAAAGGCCCGAATACAGAGCTCACCAAAGCGAGGGGAAGTGAATGCATGGAAGTAGAATGCGGGGAAGGGGGGGAATGACCATGATGCGATATGGAATAAATCATGCAATCAAAGAATAGGCTGGGCAAGCTAACGTACCCTGGCGAATAACTTCGCATCTCCTCCAGAACTCATGGCTACGGTATGGACGAATAGCGATTAGGTACTGCTAGGCGCGACTTCTTGGAATGTAAACTTCGGCGAGCTCTCGTATCTGACGGCCGTGCGATCAATCACAAGTGAGATTGGCTGGAGGATCGTCAATGATAAGACGAAAGTAAAGCGCGAGATCGAGTCCAAAGGGTCCGGGCCGGGGAGTTTTAAGAGAGGAAAAGGGTGAGACCGAGGACGTGTTCACTTGTGGCGCATTCGGGATACTCGGAAACAAAGTAAATCAGCGATTGGACATTGTCCTTTTCTCAAACAATCGGAAAAGAATTAGAAGATCAATGAAGTTGGAAATAAAGAGAGAGAAAGAGGGAAAGGAGAATTGAAGGCGGCGTAGCCACTGCGGAGGGAACCTCCCTACCCAAGCAACTTTCCTCCCCGTCATTTGCTTCTTCTTAAGATCATCTCCCCACCAACACCACATTTACTATCTTAATTATGTCACAAGCTCGTCTACCACCACCTCCTCCTCCGCAATGGGTTGTTTCGTTGAACTCCCCGATGCCGCGCCCCTCAAAGGCCGCATCCAGCATCCCGGACCCGCCAGGCTTCTCAAGCAGTCGGGGAGGCAAGCAGGTGAGTTCCACCACAAACCATAACAATATGGACGGGAAGATACTAATACGGTCCCTTTCAGCGCCAGCAACAGCAACAACAATCCACCACGAAGAAACCCGACGAGACCGACGCGCTTAAGATGAAGAAAGCGTGGGAGATCGCCATCGCCCCATCCAAGCAGATCCCAATGAATGCCATTATGATGTACATGTCCGGCAACAGTCTTCAGATTTTCAGCATTATGATGGTCCTTATGTTATTTAAGGGTCCTATCCAGGGTCTGATTGGTACCAATGCGGCATTCGCCAAATACGAAACCCCGTCGACACATTCGCGTCTGCTTGGAGTGAAGATCGTCTACATGTTGATGCAGCTGGTATTACTGGGTCTGGGTATCTGGAAGGTTAATGCGATGGGTCTATTGCCGTAAGTCTTGCTCTCGAGCTGTGATAACGCTTATTTTGCTAATATATGTCCAGAACTACGAGATCGGATTGGCTAGCATGGGAGTCGGAACGGCAGCCTTTGGAGCAGGCTCATTTTGCTTTCAGGTGATGCGATAGCCTTGAAGTACGGGTTCAATGTTGGAAAAAGGGCTGCTGGAAATGCGTCCGTGGACAATAATGTGATTTGGAACAGCTTATCATGACACTGATCAACTTGATCTTTGCCTTCCTGTATTATTGATTGAAGAGTTCTATAATCATGCATTTCTTGGGCGCAAGTTTCTAAAAGGATATCGACAGGAAAATTGTAGTTCATGATGGTCATCGGGTAGAGGAGTAACCCCTTTGTCACTTCTAACTTCTTGAAGCATTCGTATTCCCAGTGTTCTTAGTTTCCTCTTTCAGACGACGCTCTTCACGCCAGCTCGGCCCCTTTTGAATCACGATCAAAAGTAGTGGCGTCGTGGCCATCATCACCAACGCGATGAATGTGAAACACCAGCCCCGGCCCATGGCAGAAAGCATGGGATCGATGAGTGCTGTCGCACCGGCTCCTAGTAAGCAACGCATGAAATTATTGGCAGCAGTGGCTTTGGCCGCTTGTGTTGGATATAGGTCTACCAGTAGTGTACCGATGGTATTGAATGCCCCTGTCAACGTCAATCCCATGAGGAACAGAATACAGGTTGGTGCAGCGAGGTGAATTCCATAGTTCAAGAACCAGCCAAATACAAGGATGGAGAGGCTTCCTAACGCGAGAAGAGGAAAGGCGAGTTGAAGACGAGCTTTTTCAATAGGGAAGTTCCGCAAGTCAGTTTCACGGTTCTTAGTTAGTGGGAAGTTCAATTGCTTTGCAAGTCGGCGGTAATTGAAGTCCAACAACTTGCCATTGACAACGGAAGCGATGGTTGCACCGAGGCCAAATGGAATATAGCAGAGACCGACCTGGAGGTCGTCTAGCCCATATAGCTCATTGAAAATAGAAGGAATGCTTGCGCTAACGTCGTAGAATCCAGCAAAAAGAACAGCATTGCAGAAGAGAACAAGACTAATATCCTTCTGGAATACAATGGCAAGCGTCTGGAAAGGATTGGGAAACTTGAGTTTCTGCTTGGATGCAATTGTCGTAGATATGACGCCTTCCTCGCGAGCCTTTCGGGACTTCAGGTAGCTGATCAGGGACATGTTCCATTTCTGAGGAGGCAGTGAGCCATCACCGACAATACCACGAGCAGTTTCCGGGAAGAAAACCAGAAAAGGAACCATGAATGTCGCTGCAAAAATGGTCAGAAACCAGAAGATCGCCCGCCAGCCCAAATATTGAGACAATAGACCTCCAATTACTGGCCCAACTGAAGGGCCCATGAGAGATCCTGCAGTGACGAATCCCATGTAGGACCCTCGTTGGGATGCAGTCGCCACATCGGCGACCACCCCCGATGAGAGGGCAATGGTGGTACTGCTCCCTGCGCTTTGCAGGCACCGGAGAACAAAAAGAGCTGCATAATTGTTTTGCAGGGCCAGTCCAATATTAGCTGCGATATAGATAGTGAAGCACACGATATATGCTGGTCGTCGGCCCGCTTTATCCGCAAAGTCACCAATGAACATGGGCGACAGCCCTTGAAAAATCTACATTCTCGTTAGCCAAACTATAAAATTAAATGTGCCCTATACACATAGGAAGCCTTACCATATAACTTGTCAAAGTCAAATTGATCAATGAATTTGATACATGCAGATCTTTCGCCAAGGTATTCAATGCGGGGAAGTATATTTGAGAAGAAACAGGCGAGAAAAACCCTGCCCAAGAGGCCATGAAGACGATATACCTGCGCTGACTCACTGTGAAGACTGAGTAGTCGACATCAGCAAGATCCCCGCTTCTCGTTCCCACGTTCGCATCTTGGCCGGATCCTGGGTGCGAAATAGATGGTTGTTTAATTTCTTTCTCCGCCATCTAGGCTGTCAAAGTTAAGATCAAACATGTGTTTAAAAAAGACTTGGAGACGCAGAGAAACAGCAATGACTCCTGTTTTTTTCTCGCTAGCACGTAAGCGGGAAAGATCCATCCATATCGCTCGCCATTTGTGGAGATAACGGCGCTCGAATGCGTGCCGAGAAGCCGAATATTCTATATGGTTCATTACTACATGTACTTTTTACGGACTACAACATAAAGAATTATACAGCCCTGCAGTAGTGTAGATGACAAATGATTCAGAATAAAAGAATAAAAGACTTTAATCCCTACAAATGAATCTAAATATATATAGTTGAAACAATACAATAGTACACGACAGAACAACATTTAACGCGCCTTCACAGCCTCTTTGCACGCCTGCAAAAAGATCTGACAGAATTCCCACACTTCTGTGTAAGTGTTATACAAGGGTGCAGGGGCGACGCGAACCACATCTGGTTTTCTCTCGTCAATAACAACCCCATTCTCCTCCAGACAATGCAAAACATGATCTAGCAACCCTGGTTGGAGACGTAGACTGAGCTGAGCACCTCTCTCGGCTGGGTTTGATGGGGTGATAAGGGTGAATGGTTTATCTTCCGGGGCTGCGTCTAGAGGATACTTCATCAGAAGATGTTCTAGATATCCCGTGATGTTGAGGGATTTCTGTCGAATTTCCTTCATTGTTGCCCGGTTGAAAATTTCGAGAGATGCAATGACCGCGTTGATGTCTAGAACAGAGGGATTTGACAGCTGGAATCCAGCGGCGCCGGGTTGTGGCAGAAATTCTAAAGTCGTTAGTCTCGCATGTGTGTAAATCAGGATTAGATTACGCACTGTTCTCCATGTTGAAACGGGTTTTGATATCTCCACCCCACCAGCCTGAAAGTCGAGGCCGAAATGTGTCGTCGCTTTCGGGCTGTTTCTCATCCACAGAGCCGTGGCGTTCATGGACAAATAGTCCTGCTATTCCACCCGGTCCGCTGTTAAGGTACTTGTAATTGCACCAGGCTGCAAAATCCACATTCCAATCGTGAAGTCGCAAATCCACATTGCCGGCGGCATGAGCGCAGTCCCAACCGATCAAAATGCCTTTAGAGTGGGCGTGAGCCGTGATCCGTTCAATATCGAAGTACTGCCCTGTGTAAAACTGAATAGCCGAGAGGAGAACGAGTGCAGTGCTGGAAGCGTTATCATCGATCACTTTGATGATTTGTTCCGTGCTCAGGGTAGGCTGGTCTAAATCCTTGGGTTCGATCAAAACCATGCCGTCCTTCGGATCGAAGTTATGATGGCGGAGTTGAGACTCCACCGCATACTGAATTGCACTCGGGTTAGTACCAGCAGCAAACTCCAAAATTTAGACTGCACAACGAGAGACATACATGATCACTAGGAAAAGCCTTGCCCTCCAGTATAATCTTATACTTCTCTTTGGTCGGGCGATAGAAGCTTGCCATTAGCAGGTGCAAATTGGCAGTTAAGGTGCTCATAACTGCCACTTCACTTTGAGAGGCACCGACAACTGAGGCCATAAGCTTGGATGCTGCGCTGTCAACATCGACAAAAGGAGGTAGCAATTGATCGTCATGAGGCACAAAGTGTCCGGTCACGCCTTTCGTTGCCCAAGTTCGCAGGTACTGCTCGATATATTTCTGGGTGCTACGAGGCTGGACTCCCAATGAGTTGCCACAGAAGTAGATGCTTTTTTCATCAGATGCTTCGTTGCCTAATGAGGAAGCAGAAAGCCAAAGGTTAGAACAGACGCCTGGGTATACAAGAGACCTCGATACGCACTCTCGTCTACTGCCAGAGTCTTCCGCTTGAGATCATTCTTGGATGGGATGATAAACTCATCCCGGAAGCTCCGAAGCGGATCCTGAGCATCAAGAGCTTCGGCATACTCTTTCTTGTAAGCTCTGATATCATCTGTATAGGGAAGCGGGGAGCCGCTTTTGATGTCCCGAACATGCTGCCGAGAACCCATGGTGATAGACCTAGATCCAGAAAGCTCCTAGAATGCGCGTGTATACTTCACAATGCTGAGGGTTCTAACAGATCAGAGCTTCAGCAAGGAGTCATACAACCTTTGAAGGCTAATACATTTATTTGCAGTCCCCCACCATCCGGCGATCCCTTCCTGATAGGGACATTATTCTGCCTTGTCTTCCCGACTTTATCCGACCAATGGTGTCACTGTTAACTGACTAACCCGATGTAATCGGAATGGGGATGATTTGATATCAAGTGTTCACCTTTCTACTTTCTCTTCTTGAAGAATTCCATTCTTTCACACATCAGCAATGTCGCGCCCTCTATTCTCATCCACAGCCGTCCGGCGGTTATCCCAAGCACAGACGTGCCGGCTCTTCTCAACTTTTCGACCGGCTCTACGCCTCTCCGCATTCCCCGGCGGCGAAGTCGTTCCTCGCCGGCCAAGCACTGTCGCAAGTAGTGCGCCTCCTCTCAAACGCTCAACGCCCCAATCCTCAACCTCTCGCTATATCCGCCAGCAACATGCGTGTTTTTCTTCCTCGTCTGTCCGCCCGGCCACTAAGGTGACGCAAAACCCGAGAACCGGAGATGATGGACAATCGCTCACGATTGGTATTTCACCACGGGCCGTCGAGGTGAGTTGATAATGAATTTCTTTGCATTTTGTTTGCCTCTTTTTGCCTCATTCTTCTATCTGGCTTGTGCTGGGATGGGCGGGAAGCTGTCTGGGCTGCATGGGCATCAAGTGTCGGGGGTCTGTCTTGGTGTCGGCTTGATTTCAACCGACAGGGGATGACCCCATGACCGCGCCTTGGGTCCTTCAGATGCCCTTTCAAGTACATACGACCATAGGGTGTGGAAAACAGGGCTTCCCGTCCGCTCAGCCGTACTTAAGCCACACGCCGGTGAGTTAGTAGTTGGGTGGGTGACCACCAGCGAATCCTCACTGTTGCATGTTTCCTATTTTTGGTTTTCTTTTTTGGCTTCAGTTTTTATTTTATTTTTGGGAATCATCACGCTAATCCAGCGCAGCGTCTCCGCGAGATTACTGACCCAACCTCTTCGCCTTCCGCTATTAAGGAAGAGAATCCATACCACCATCTTCGCATCACAGTCACCAGCGGCGGATGCCATGGTTTCCAATATATGATGTCCCTAGAGGGAGCCTCTAAAATTGATCCGGAAGAGGATACTGTGTTTGAAGGAGAAGCAGATGAAGCTGCAGCAGAGTCAGCTGGTGAAGCCAAGGTCGTCATGGATGAGCCCTCGCTCGAGCTGCTGCACGGCAGTACCGTGGACTATACCACTGAGTTGATCGGGAGCCAGTTCAAGATTGTGGATAATCCTCGCGCAACAAGTAACTGCGGTTGCGGGACAAGTTTCGATGTCAGCGATTGATTGAGCAACCTGTCCCTTGGAGGGATTGGAGAGATGGTATTTACTATTTACTATTTTCTTCCTTTTCTTCTATTATTTTCTGTACATCATACTGCATTTTGCACACTGGAAAGATAGATAATTACATGCTATACCCCTCTTCTCTTACCTTGGTCTCTTTTATATTGTGAAAGATGCAAAATTAGGGTTTGATGATGTCAGCGCATTTGACCCCGGCGCTATACTGTCGACGGCCAAGATAAACAAAGCATCGTTGATGAGGTACCTGCCTAGTGGGCAAGTACATGTCTTATTTAGGCAAGAACCTCCGCGTGTTGTATTGAGGAAGAAGCCGTTGGAATAAAAGTGGTGACTCCCAAAAGAACTTCCCCTTGTCAACACACCTCTCTCTTTGCTGCCTCCGTTTCTTGCGTCTGTTGCCAGTTTTCTTCATTCCTGGCAAGAAGATTGAACGTTAAGTGCAACGGCGATCGAGAGTATGATTGGAATGTGCAGTAGCCAGCGAGGCTTGTGGCTGTCACATGGAAGCTTCGGGTAAGGATGCTGTAGCTCGTAATGCACTTCCTGTCACCTCACCCGGCGCTAACCAGCCGACCATCTGGCCAGCCAGACGGGCTTTCAGATTGCCCGGGTACGGAATGGAGAAGCGCACTAGAAAACCACTGGTCAATAATACCTGCAAACCCGACCCAATGCGCTTGAGAATTCTTGCAAAATGTAAGATTTTCCCAGTGAAGCATTAGACCACCACTAACAACCCTTCAAGCACCGTATGCTCAACGCATTTAAACCTTACCAAACCAACCCAGCTTCGCAACTATGGCAGCAAATGGGAGCCTCCCGTGAATTGCTCCATATGGCAGGCCGACTGCGCGACATCGGCAGCTCCGTTGTTCTTTGATCCAATTAGCTTCGGGGTGCCACTAAGACCTATGGCGATGGAGGACTTCACTATAACAATCCCATTCGGATCATTCTCGAAGAATTAAAGAGAATTTGGAATTGCGAAAGCGAAAGAAGGGCAGGCATCATAATCAGCATCGGCACTGGCAAACCTAAGCTCCAAGGGTTTGGTAAAAACCTGATTGAAATTATTAAATCCCTTGAAGAAATTGTGACCAACACACAAGAGACCGCGGAAATGTTCGCAAACGAGATTGCCGATCTTGCTTCGACGGAGCGGCCTCACTATTTTCGGTTCAATGTTGACCAAGGGCTAGAGAATATTGAGCTGGAAGAGTGGCGGGAATTTGAAACTCTCACAGTGGCCACTGACCCCTATCTAGAGGCTCATCGAAGAGACGTTGATTCTTGTGTGGAAGCGTTCCTCGGGTTGATAGGTGAGCCATGAGCTACCTAGTGATAGACGAACTATCTAACGAAATATAGTGGACAGTATTAAGATACCTCCCCAAGGACTCTTATTATCCGAGTTTCCTTTGAAAACAGACCAATTCTTTAATAGAGCGGCAGAAGTCTCCTAAATATCGGACTATCTAGAAGAAGCCTCCTCTATATAGAAGAGGGTATCCATATACGGGGTTCCTGGGAGCGATAAGACACAGCTAGCATTAGAATACGCCATGAGGACACGCGAACATTTTCATGCACATATATGGATCAATGTAGAGTCCAAAATGTCCATTGAACAATCATTCATGACTTGCGTGGGCGTAATTTACTCAAAACACCCGTCATTCCGCGAGTTTGCGAGCCGTTCAGAGCCCTTCGATGTTGTCCGTGCACGGTTACAGACACCTGCTCACTACCCATGGCTGATTATCATCGATGGGCTAGATAATTTGGTACGTGGGAGACATTTAATCCATTATTGTATGGGGCTGGTTGGTGGCACAATTTGCGTTACGTCAACCCATCAGAACGTTTCAGAACGTCTCAAAATCGAAGCCAACGCAATCGTTAAAGTTGGTCCCTTGAAACCTGTGGATGCCCGGTCACTTTTCCTCTACCGGGCTCAGAACATTGACCAAAACACCAACGAAGAATGTAATACTACGTCTATATTCCGTGTTAAGAAACACATGCTAACTATCGCAAAGTGGACGAGGGTGAAGAGTCTTGATGGGTTTCCCTTGGCCATAGAGCTAGCTGGGGTTCTAGTGCCCGAAGGAATAGTCTCCCTAAATAACTTGCCAACAATGTACAAAACTCGACACCAACAACTTACCAAGTTCAAGCCTGGGCAAGGACAATGGTTTTCGGATAAAGACTATTCCTTATTCCATACGTAGAGATGCTCTATGAATCTCTTTCATCAAAATCTCCCTGTGCGGCTCCGCTCCTGACAATCTGCTCAGTCTACGGGCCCTGGGCACCTCCAATGTCTTTGTTTCGGAATATGAAAATTTTCGCGGCACCAACAGAGTCTGGAGCTAACGTTGAATCCTGCATGGAGTTAAAAACACTTGCTCAGGACAAAACGACACTCAGAATGGCAGTATATGAGCTTCATCAAGGCGTTATAACCATACGGAAACAAAACCCTACCACTGGAGAAGTTGAGAACACCTCACTACACGGGTCGATATGTCGCTGGCGAATTGCCTATCTTGATAACGAAAGCAGAGCAAAATGGACTATGCAGGCTTCTCACGCCCTTGCATGTCATTTTTGGGATTCCTGCAAGGGTAAAGACACCATGCATTGCGCCAAATCAGATCAGGAACAGTTGAGTAGCCCCCAGCGAGTGGCCTTCATCGAACCTTCAAGTTTCAATGGCTCGCCTATTCACTTGTCCAGCAGGGAATCCCTTGGGCTCAGTGGTTATACCAGCGGGAGAGATGCCAGGCAATGCATCCGAAAATTGTTACGGATTGCACTTTATGAATGTTTCGATTGAGGTACCTGGGGGACAGCATCTTTCAGGGAGACGAAAAAGCGATACAAACATTGACTGAAATCGAGATGAAACTCGACCAGTTACTGCAGGAATCAGGAAAGATTCATGACTCGGAGCATCCAGACACAATTAGCCTTGTGAACTTGGTGGGTTAATTTTCTTCTGCGCAAAAAAAGTGGCCAAAGGCGGAGGCCATACTAAGACGTGAAAGTGAGGCGCTATCGAAGATACGCGGTGAAGATAGATCAATAGAACTCACAATAGATATAATTATTAGCTCAAATATTCAAGCTCTAGCAGACGAGTTGGATGAAGGGCGTAACTTTTCAGCTCTGAAACACCACCAGCTGGTTCCGTGGAGGGTTTACGAAGAAGATCCAATGATCTGTTATGCATTAAACCGTCTTACTCACTTTCCCAAGAACGGAATATCTGGTAATGCACTCCAAGTCGCCTCATCGATAGGGGATGATAAAGCGGTGCAAATGCTGTTTATTCGAGGCGCCAATGTCAATGCTTAAGGTGAAAGATATGGTAACGCGCTCCAAGCTGCAGTATCCAATGGCCATCAAAAGGTGGTGCAGATGCTGCTTGATCAAGGTGCCGATATAAAGCAATTTAATAGACTGCGAATCAACGTTTTGAGAGTTCTTTTGGTCTCCTTGTTATTGTTACGATCTGGAACGAAGAAAAATCTGGTACTTTGTTGGTTAGAGAGGCATTCAGATCTACTACCCTTTCCCCCTTCCCCTCCCTTCTACGGATATCTTCTCTTTCATCCATTGAATGCATTCCTCTGTTAAAAGAAGAGCCGCCTTAGTAGATATATTTGCGATGTCCTTTTTCTTTGTATCTCTGAGGTCCCTCGTTCAACAAGTCAACTGACTATCCTTCCCCTGACGACCTCCAGAGGCTTGGAGTTCAAGCATTCCGAGTACCCTTGGCCCTGGAAAATGACGAAGGTCTTCAATTTGACCCGTGCTTCTTTCGACCACACCCTGATAAACTGTTTCAGAAATATCCAATCTAGATGATCCACAGGACATACAATACACATCCACCTTGAAGGATTACATAGAGGATGCCCTAACCGAGCGTTCCCCTGAATACGCTCCAATAATTGCGAGAATGGAATACGAGCAGGATTTGGATTATCTACCAGGGCGTAATCCATACATACATGCCGAGGACGTAGAGAAAGCTATTGAGTCTCACATCAAGGCTAGAAGATACGGACCGCATAATTGGATTATGCTTGCACACCTCAGAGACGATGACCAAGTATTTTGGGAGGAAGTAGACAGTCAAACATTGGATTACAAGGATGGGGCTAACAATTAGTACCCCATACCGAAGAGAAGACGACCCTCATACCTACGAGGGATTTGAAGATCCAAAACCATGGCGAGTGGCCAATCATTTTCGATACGCCAGCCGTCCTCTAAAGCCACATTCAATTATGTCATCTGACTCAAATCTGGCCTGATACCAGTCAGGACCTCACTACTCACGAGTTAAGAGTCATCGTGAACATGATGCTTCTTCGAGTGAATCACAAACCGTTTCGCAGATGTCATATTCACCCAGTGAGTGATTTTCTATGTTTTACGTGATCTTGTCTAAGATCTGTACACATTTTGGTTCTCTCTTTTATGGGTGGTCATCACGGGAGAATCATTCAGGCTTCGTATAATGGAAAGGGATTGATACTACAGTACTCACAACTATGGAGCTTTGCGGAAATTAAAAAGGCACCAGTGGAATTGTTCGTCCGATATCGTCTAGGCAAGCCAGTTGTTCATGTTCGTACTGTACTGTGTCTCTTTAGATAGCTATATATGTACTTTATATCAGCCCTGGAAATTGAGAAAGAAGCCTTAATGACAGGGCTTGTCCAAAAATACCCTTTGAAAAGACAGTACACAGGCAAACAATATTTAGTCCATGACCTGCTAGTAGTATGTGTATAGTACCTGCCATGTAGATTTATGCAGATATGTAAACATTGGGCTTTGTTGGAAGGAGCGTATAAAACTTAAAAATCGACCTTCCATCTTCCACTCTCTTGACCTCTCTCTTAACCTCTCTCAAGCAAAACAAAATTATTTATATATCATGTCGACTACCAAGATCCCTAGGTCCAAAGCGCCTTAGGCTCTTCTTATCTATTATAGAGATCAAACCAAACATTCGGGAACAGCACCCAAATGTTCTCTGGGAAGAGATAGGCCAGAAGGTCGTATGGACAATGCACGACGGAGCATGATGCCCGATAGTGGCATCTCTCTCCGTAAGTTAGATCAGGCCAAATATCACAAAATATATTCTGACCTGACTTTGTAGAAATCAGCTTGTCTCCCAAGATAACCACGAGATATCCCTATCGATTGCCTACTATGATCTCGAGTACATCGAATGCAAACGGCCGAATTTCCGAATTTCCGAGCTGTGATTGTCGATCAAGTTACTGCTATTCACTGCAACCAATACCTCGAATGCCAAATCGAACGAGCGAGACCAATGACAAAAGTCATGATTCCGACAACGACAAAGGATGTGGGTGGAAGTGTCGATTAAAGAGTCAAAGCACCCACCGAGACAGATTATTCAATCTCGATGACGAGAACATTTCCGACGAAGAACACTCCACAGAAAGGTATCGCATTCGGAAGAGACTATACCAGGCCATCGGGCAATCCAAAGAGAGATCGTCAAGATAGCGCTTTGATGTCAGGGAAATACCGATGAAAGTGGCTTTCGTTACTCGAAGCGTGATTCAAAAAACCGCGAGGTCGACGCTAATGGGGATGGGCTGATTGGCCCTTTAAGTAGCATTTTTTTTGGCTAGCAGGACTCGATGAGCTAGTCGATGCAGTTTAGCCCCCAAAGATGTCTAAGAATATGGACCTTGTAACACACTTGCAGGAGATCATGAGGGTTGAACAATGGATATCATTGACATGTGTATCAAAACTTCCGGTAACGCTAAAAAGAGAACAAGGAATCATGAATATAGAATCTTGAAGTAACGGCAAATGCCTAGTGCCACATAGAAACCAAGACGGTCTTAATCCTCCTCCATCTTGGCAAGTCCACCACGGCTACGCCGAATGCGTTCATCCAGAGTATCCTCCTGTACTCGCTTATTAACATCAGACATGAACCTGCCCCGGTCTGAACGCAGCCGATCGTCAGCCTCCCGCTGCTCTTCCTCCTTGGCCGAGATCTCCTCGATTCGCTGCCGTCGCTCTGATTCGATTTCCGAGGCGTTGCTTTGCATCTCTGCTAGCTTGCGACGACGTTCTTCTTCCAGTTCCTTAGGATCAGGCTTGTTTGTTGGGGCACGGTTCGAGGGTGGCCCCATGGCCCGGCCAGAGTCCCGCCGATTGTTGTATTCACGCCGGGGGAAGTCACGACGGCGATCTTCGCCAGCGGCGGGGCGTTCTTTGCGATCGCTAGATGGGCGAGGAGATCGGGAGTTACGGGTTGGTGAGCGATCTCGCCCACCTCTGTCTTCGCGATCTTGGTGTCGGCTGGAGTAGGAGTCTCTGTCTTTCTTGTCTTGGTAGTCGCGACGGTCTCGGCCCCGGTCTCTATCATCCCGGCGGGACCGGTGCTCATCGCTTCTCCGGTCACGGTTGTCTGGGCGGTATTCGTCGTCACGGCGTTCACGATCGCGGTCACTTCGGTGTCTGTGCGAAGATCGATCGGGCGAACCGGGTGATCTAGATCGGTGTCGTCGAGGCGAAGATCTTCGGTGGTGGCGGTCCCGGCGGTCATCACCCGCATCATCACTATAGCGTCTACGCTTTGAGTCGTGGGTACGATGGCGACGGTCACGATCCTTTCCTCGATCGCGATCTCCGCGTTCCTTCTCTCTTTCCTTGCGCCTGAGGGTCTCTTTCACCATCGCCTCATAAGCTGCTTGTTCTCTCTTTTTCACTTCGAGTAGCGGGTCCGCCATAACCTTCGACATGGTGTCGCGCGCCGAGACGATAGATGGGCCGGCCGCGGCACCGTTGCCCACCACCTCCGAACCCTTCTCCAGCTTCTTGGTGTCAGGGTCATTCTTCAGGAGGACTCCGTCAATGCGGCGCTTTCCCAGCAAATATCCCTCCATCTCCTCCGAGTAGTGCCCCGTCTCGGTCGAGGGCGCCTGGTACATCCAGTCGACACGGCGATGTTGCTTTGTCTTTCCGGCGGCTTCTTGGAGGCGTTGAATCTCCTCCATCTGGCGTTCCTCCTCTCGTTCACGCTGTAGTTGCGCGATCTGCTTGCGCTCGTCGAGAGCGCGCTTCTCCTCCAGCCATACGCGCTCCTGGTTCTTGATCAAGCCTGGGTGCCATGACCTGGTTGGACGGTTAGTGTTATGCTTCTCTCTTGGGATATATACTGAAGCTGGTAGCCGGTACTTACTTCTTCAGGTTCAAATCGCCACCCATGATGCTTGAATGGGTGAAGAATTAGATAGAACAAAAGGTTGGTATGAGTAAGTTGCTATATCCGAAGTCCACGGGTAAATCCAAAGCTCAATCGCCACTGATCACGTGATCTCGCGATACGAGAACTACACTTTTTGATACGGAAGTTGGTGAGTGGATATGTTGCATCAATGGAATAAAATGGAATAATGTAATATAGATTTTCTCCTTTTCTCTTTAACTCTCAGAATGGTCATAGTCAGGATATCCATACAACCTCGAACAACTACCAAGGGAGCAGAATTAACCGTAAACCAGAAGCATTAGAGGTGTAGGAGGAGAAGTTAGAAATAAGAACGAGAAAATAGCAAATGACGGGGTTAACTCTAAATACAAGGTGAGGAATCGAAAAAACGCATCATATCATATCATCATCGCCATAGAACTCCAAGAACAAACCCATATTACCAGAAACTGCACCATCCAATCCAGTGTTGACAGATGTTCTCAACGTTGGTTGCCTGTGCAATGAGTTTGTCCACCTGGTCACTGACACTCAGCTCTTCATTATTTCTGAAGTCTCGTCCAGTGAGCTTCTCCTTGACTCGGGCTAGAACCTGGAGAGCACGGGCATTCTGTGCCTCGCGGGCTTCTTGTGGAACGCCTTCTGGAGCATCAAGAATGCCACCTTCAAGCATGGACGGGCGGCGGCGACGGGAGAAATCGCCCGGCGGCTGGGCGCCGGGTTCGAAATTGACACCTTCCATGATGGACTGGCGGCGATCCGCAGTGAGAGACACTCGGTCGGGGGACTCCTGTGTACCCAGACGCCAGTTGATTAGAGGGTCGTGGATGAACTAGAAAAGTAAAAGTTAGTAAGTGTGGTTCTAGAACATCAAGAAATCAGGCAACTTACAGCCTCCAAGACCGCCATCAACGAATCCTTATGTTCTCGTAGAACACGCATGACAGCCTCGCAAGTAATGCGGTAGCTACCCTCAATGTTGCTGACTTCCATTGCGAACGTCAACATACGAGTAAGTCGGAACGGAACTCGCTCCGGGTACTTCTCTCGGTGCATTGCGATCTCGAAACAATCACCAAAGTCGATATGAACCACACGGCCATTACCACGATCCAACAACAAGTTCGATGGATGTCGGTCTCCCAGACCAAGGATATAGCCGACCATAGACATAACACCGAGCGATCGAGTGTAGTTCGTACGGCGCTCGAGCCATGCCTCAGAGCTCTTGCTCTTAAGCCATAGCACACGGTACAGATCTTTACCAGTCGTGTTGTCCATAGCGTAGCCGAAGACTTCGACCTTCTGCATGAGAGTAAGGCTATCGTAGTCGGGTGCCATTTGAAGCATGATCCGGTGCTCGATGTTGAGTAGAATCCGACGGCTTTCGCGATATTCCTTGATCAAGGCATGCAATGTATCACTGTTGGACACCCATCCCAGCAGACCAGAGCTCTGAGACAATGGAATAGCAGGGAAACGCTGGACCGACAAGTGTCGCTTGAAACTCTCGCTATCGTTGTCCAGCAAGGTATTGCACAAGCCGAAAAGTTGCATGACTCGCTCATCTTGTCGGATATCTTCATGACCCTTGACGAGGTACATGTAAGAGCTACCGTTGCTTCCCTTGAGCGTCATGCGACGCGGTCGTTTCTTTGTCTGCAAGACATGCAAAATCGGGTCAAAGCTCATGATTCGAATGACCGGCTTACCACTCTGGTAGGTTCCTGGAACGGCAAGGTCGAGGTCTGAGCAGTCCTTAAGTCGAGGAGACACATATTTAAGATCAAGAGTCGATAGCTGTGGCAGTTGTCGGCTGATCTTGCGGAACACAGTGTAATACAAGTCCCAAGCTTGGTTGAGGTCACCGATTTCCTCAGATTCGCGATACATCATGCAGTAGTGCTTGGCTTCAGCCAGGTCACGACCGAAAGCTTGCGCAAATGACACCTCACGAAGGGTCTCGGCGCCCTTGTCTAGCATATCATGGAAGGGAGCAAGTGTTGAGAACATGCCTTCAACATTGTGATCACCGAAATA